TTGAATGTGATGCTAAAACTACAGGAATTAGCTTTTGTGTGTGACAGGGTGATGTCTGTGTATGCGCATATGTAGTGGGGGTGCGGGAGCTGGGTCTCTCTACCCTGTGGATTTAGGGTCAAACTCTGGCTGTCAGTCTTGACAGCAAGTACCTTTACCCGCTAAGCCATGTTGCTGGTCCCTTCACTTTTTTTTTTAAAATAAATTTTCTTGCTGAATCCAGAGCTCACAGATGAGCTGCACTGGCTGAGCAGCAATGCCTAGGGATCCTCCTGTCTCCATCAGTCTCTTCCAGTGGTGAAGTTACAGACACGAATCACTGTGCTCAGCTTTGCTGTGAGTGCTGGAGATTCGAACTCGGGTCTTCATGATTACATAGCAAGGACATAACTCATGAGTCATCTCCGCAGCCCGTGTGGGGATTCTATAACTCACGGTGCTGGTGCTGATAATTGTTGTTGCAATTTGTTTTTGTTTTTGTTTTGTTTTGTTTTGAGACAGGGTTTCTCTGTGTAGCTTTGGAACCTATCCTGGAACTCAATTGGCAGACCAGGCTGGCCTCGAACTCACAGAGTAGAGTAGCTCTGTAGACCAGGCTGGCCTTGCCTGGCTTTGAACTCAGAGATCCACCCACCTCTGCCTCCCCAGTGCTGGGGTTAAAAGCGTGTGGGCCACCACCGCCCGGCCTTGTAGCAGATGTTTTGTTGGAGCCAGGGATGTGCTAAAATTTTACAATTCATTCTCCAAGAGTTTGCCTTATACTTGAGAGTGATTAAGACATTGTCACTTGCATTTGAGTGACTGCTCAGTTTTGCTTAGAGCTGTCATGGAACCAAGGAAGCATGGCTTATTAAACCCTCTGGTAAACCAGCCGCCCCCAGTGAAAGGGAGGTGGTGATTCCCGCTCTGGAGGGATGCAATTCCCTTCATTCTGGACGCTTCTCTCGGTGACTGGAGCGTGGTGAGATCTCCTGGTGGGCAGAGCCTGCCCAGCTCAGCACAAAAGAGAAGCCCCCGGAACTCAGGGTCGCTCAAGTGTACACTGGAAAAGTCAGGCTCTGACTGTGTACTTACTTCCTGTCGTTCCCCTAGGAAGCCGCTGATTGTCACAGTACAATCACATGCTTTTATGAAAGATGAAGGTAGCTCATGGATGTCTTTTCTCCTTGTATTGATTTATCTATTTAATCAGAAAGTCTTTTAAGATTCCCCTTTGTGCAGTGATATGGGAAGACCTGAGCTTTGCTTGGCTGTCTGGAGGGTGGGATTCTTGAAGCAACTTAAATCTTATTTGCTCTCAGTCATTGAAAGGAAACAAACAAGCCTAGGAAGAAGTCGCAGGCCGGGCAGTGGTAGCACACGCCTTTATTCCCAGCACTTAGGCAGAAGCAGGTGATCTCTGAGTTCAAGGCCAGCCTGGTCTACAGAGCTAGTTGCAGGACTCCCATGGCTACACAATGAAACCCTGTCTTGTTGGAGGGGGAGGGGGGAAGCCACAAAATACAGTGGCTCCTTCTGTTTCTAGTGCAGTGGTTCTCAACAGGGGTCACCTAAGACCATCAGAAAACACAGATATTTACATTACAATTCATAACAGTAGCAAAATTACAGTTATGAAGTAGCAATAAATGCTTTTATGGTTCAGGGTCACCACACTATGAGAAACTGTATTAAAGGGTTGCCGTATTAGGAACCACTGCTCTAGGGGTAATTACTTCTGCATCGGTCTAAAGGTAGATGGGTCTTGGGCCTGGAGATAACTCAATTAGACCAGGTGCCAGTTGCCAAGCCTGACACAGACCTGAGTTCAGTACGCAAACCCCACAGTGTGGAAGGAGAGAGCTAGTTCTTGCAAATTGTTGTTCTCTGACCTTGCCATGGCACATGCAGGCGTGAGTGTGTGTGTGTGTGTGTGTGTGTGTGTGTGTGTGTGTGTGTGTGTGTGTGCTAAATAACATAATTAAGATCGGTCCTTTACTACTGGCCTCCAGACACAACAAAGAGAGAAGTGGAGAAGTTGATGGATGAGGCTGCCACTTACAAATGCGGCTTAGGCTGGACCGCTTTAGTAAGCAATGTGTATGCTTTTCATTTGCTAGAAAGCCCGGGCAAGGCACAGCATTGATTAGAATCCCAGCACTTAGCAGAAGAAAGAAGGAGGCTCAGGAGAGTGAAGAGCCCTGGACTGCATGAACCCTTCTCGCGGGCTACCCTCACACTCAACTGAACTTGACCCTTCACCTTCCACCTTTCAAATGTTGAAATTAACATGGGCCTAGCTTGTTGTTTAGTGAGCTAAAGTCTTACGATGTAGCCCGTTCTCAACTGGAACCTGTGATCTTCCTGCCTCAGCCTCTGAAGGCTGGAATTGCAGGTGATCTTAAACAACAAAAAATAATTTTAGTATTATATTATATTCATACTTACCATTCCGGCGCGTGCGTGCGTGCGTGCGTGCGTGCGTGTGCGTGTGCGTGTGCGTGTGTGTGTGTGTGTGTGTGTATGTGTGTGAGCGTGAGTGCCTGCTTTCATCCTAGAAGGAAGAAGATCTTTCTCTACTGTAGAAGGGAGATAATAGAATTTACCCTTCTTCTCTTTGGTGTTTTAAGGTCTTCAGAGAGGAAAATACATCACGAAAGAGTACTTGAGAATTTCATGGCTTTATTTCACACTCTGTTGGAGCTCCTTGCTTGCGTCTGTGGTAACTGTGTGTCGACTTACTGTGAAGGAGAAGCCAAGAGCAGTTTAGTGTTGCCAGGGAGTCACCGTGTCATTAAATGGGAGCGGAGGGGCTTCTGGAAGGCTCCCTGCAGCAATGGCACTGCAGTTACCAGGAGGAAGTGGCTGGTGACAGAGATGAGAATAACCAGCTCAAACTGTCTTTCAAGCAAGGCATGTCAGCGCGTGGCCTGGAATCCCAGCACTCAGAGGCAGAGGCAGCGGGATCTTGGTTTTAGGCCAGTCTGTGTGACCTAGTGAGTTCTAGGCTAGCCTGAGTACAGGGCGGGACCCTGCTTCAAAAAAAATCAAAGCAAAAGTATTCTTTGTCACAATGTACCTCATCTTGGAGGTGCATGGATAGAGCGCTTGCCTAGCATGCATGAAAGCTTGACTCTGATCCTCAGTATCCCACAAACTCAGTGTGGTGATTCCACATCTGTACGGGAGACAGAGGGGCAGAATCAGAAGTTCAAGGTCAACCTCAGCTACATGATGAATTCTGGGCCAGCCTGGGCTACATAAGATCCTGTCTCAAAAGTAAACAACAAAACATGGACCTTATCCCTTTCTAACATTTCTTTTTTTTTTAAAGGCGATTTTTTTTTCAAGGTTTATTATGTATACAGTGTTCTGTCTGCATGTATCCCTGCAGACCAGAAGAGGGCACCAGATCTCATTACAGATGGTTGTGAGCCACCATGTGGTTGCTGGGAATTGAACTCAGGACCTTTAGGAAGAACAAGCAGTGCTCTTAACCGCTGAGCCACCTCTCCAGCCCTCTAACATTTCTTGAATAAAAATTTCAGTAATTAGCTGTAGACTTGTACACAAACAGCATCCCTCCCAGGCTGCCTCAATGGCTTCCCAAGTCCCACCCCGACCCTCCTGTCATGCGGCATTCCGTGTTGACATGTTTTAGAGTATATTCTCAGCTATTGTCTTAGCAAAGACGTCATCTTTTTAAAGGGGCAGAGAAGGAATGTGTCTCGTGTGTTTTCTGATCCTGAAGAATCTGGACAAGTGTCACTGATCCAAGGCTCGGTTCTCTGTCTGTGATAGGCCTTGGTGTTCCTTTTGGTGACTAATTTGGGGTCAGTTGATTTGCCCACAACTCTCTGACCTAAGGGGAAAGTGAATTCTGGGTAGTGGAACAGAAGAGAGACAATAAAATAAGTGAAAGTACATTGTAAACCAAAAATGAATTTTATTTTGTATGTACGGAGCCTTAGGTATGTTAGGCAAGTGTTCGACCCCTTTTTAAAAAATTACAAAATAATGCATTGTCAGGATATAGGTCTCCATGGCCACTTGATATTATTTTTCCTTTGGCCCTCCCTCCCCCCTCCCTCCTTCCTCCCCTCTGTCCCTCCCTTCCCCTTCTCTTCCCTGCTTCTCTCATCCCTCTCTTTTTCTTTCTGTGAGACAGCATCTCTCTCTGTTGCCCAGGCTACTCAAATTCACAGAGATCTGCCTCCTGAGTGTGTACCACCATACCCAGCTCAGCTCTCTCTGAGACCGGATCTTATGCGGCCCACAGTAGCCCTAAACTGGCTGTGTAGCTAAGGCTGGCCTTGAGAATCTGTCTGTCTGTCTGTCTGTCTGTATTTCCCAAGTGCTAGAATTACAGGCATGTACCTCAATGCCAGGTTGAGGTTTTCAATATATTCACATATTAGCTCTTGAATTTTCAACATTTTACATACCAGATCTTTACTTATTATATTTCTTAGCCTTCATTTTTCACTTATTAGTGTGTCTTGGACTCCCTGTGGCTCAGAATGAGAGAGAGAGGGAGAGAAAGAGAGAGTATTCGTATTCACTTACACACAAACATCTAGCTCAAAGTGTAATGGCCATCTGTTTAGCGACATAAATACCCTTTGTGTGTGTGTGTGTGTGTGTATACGTGTGTGTGTATACGTGTGTGTGTGTGTGTGTGTGTGTGTGTGTGTGTGTGTGTGTGTACATATATACTGATTGCTATGTAGGGCAATGCCATGGTTTTGTTATTACAAATGCCAAAATGAACACTCTCCCCAGGCAATATGAATACAGCTTTTATATACAAAATGCAAGTTACATACAATATTCTCATTACACTTCTGCAGGTGTGTGCTTCTGTGGGCCTAGTTCCTGCCTGGCAGGATCACTCTGTCATTGCATAGTCTTCATATGGTAAATTTCTTCCAGACTGACTCCTTAAACCAGGAACAGTTTAGGCCGCGGAATAAGCTGAATCCCTTCAGCTTCCAGTCTCTCTCTCAGCACAGACTATATCTAAAAATGTGGAACACTTTGCAGATTTGGGTATCATCCCTGCATGGGGGCCATGCTAATCTCTGCACCATCCCATCTTTAGTAGAACGCTGCCAAAAATATGGTAACAGCCACGCTTTCTTTATAAGATAATCACCGGCTCCCGCCCATTCTGGCAATCAATCGGTAAGCGTATGAAATTTCTCTGGGTTGTCATTAGCTTGGAAGAGTCTCAATTTGCTTTCCTTTCTAGAATACTCATTTCTTATATTTCTGTGCAATCTGACAAACACACGAGAGTAAAGTTATTTGCTAGTGAGCACACTGGCAGCGGCTTGCCATTCTGTAGGAAGTGGCTTCGTCTGGGCTCCTTCCCCCTGGGGTTTCCTTAGCCTAAGCTACTGGCCTCACCGCATAGTGGAAAGGGCTTACGCTGGAGAAGTGAGGATGTAGGCTGAGTCCTCCATTGGGCCACTCCCTAGGGTGTGTGGCCGAACTCGTGTGTGCCCCTCCACAGGCTGGGTGAAGGTTACTGCAGAGCGTGTCTTAACAAGCTGGGCTGTTTTTTTGTTTTGACGCGTGAGTGAGCGTTCAGCATTTACTCCGACATCACATGAGTTCTGTTTGCTTTGACAGGTGAAGGATGATGCCCTAGCATTGGTTTGGTTTCAGCATTTCTTTAGGTCATAGAATGTATGTATAGAATTCCATATGTAAGTCAGTAATTTCATGCTGCGAGTCACATTTATGGCCCACTTTGTTCTTAGTAAACTGGTTTAATCTGGGCATGGTGTTGCACACCTATTATCCCAGCACTTGGGAAGTAAAGACAGGAGTTCAAGGTTATCTTCACCTATATAACAAGTTCAAGGCCAGCCTGAGGGATATGAGACCCTGTCCAAAAGAAATAAGAAAATCCTCGTGCTTTATATGTTCCTATTTAAACATTATTTTTAGCTGAGCAGTGGTGGAACACTCTTTTAATCCCAGTACCTGGGAAGCAGGGGTAGCTGGAGCTCTGTGAGTTCGAGGTCAGCCTGGTCTACAGAGCTAGTTCTAGGACAGCCAAGGCTACACAAAAAACCCCTGCCTCAAAAAACCAAAATAAAAAAAAACACTTAAGTTTTAAGTTATATGCATGTGTGTGACTATGTAGGTATGTGCACATGAATTCAGATGCCCATGGAGGCCAAAGACGTCAGTTCTCCTTGAAGCTGGAGTTATAGGAGATTGTGAGCTGCCTGTCTTCGGTGCTGGGAACTGAACTGGGGTCCTCTGAAAGAGCAATATGCACTAGCATTGAGTTATGTAATAATTGAGTTATCTCTCCATTCCCCTATGTTACCAATATTTTTAATTACATGTATTTATATGGGCACTGTTAGGGGAAGTGCCTGGGCATGTGCACACAGCACCCTTGTGTCATGGGATACACACGGAGGTCAGAGGATAACTTGTGGGCGTCACTTCTCTCCTTCTACCGTTCGGGTTAAACAGCCATCACTAGGCTGGGCAGCAGGCACCCTTACCCGCTGAGCCATCCTGCTGGGCCTACGCTCCCACTTGTAAGCAGGCCATTTGTTGCTGTGATAAAATCCCACGACCGAAGGCAATTTAAGGAAGAGTTTATTTGGGCTTACAGTTCCGGAGGGAGAGTCCATAATGTCAGAGTAGACATGGCAGCAGGCAGCTGAGAGATCGCATCTCCTACCACAAACAGCAGAGAGAGAGAGAGAGAGAGAGAGAGAGAGAGAGAGAGAGAGAGAGAGGCGGCAAGCTCTCAAAGGCCACCCTGAGTGATACACATCCTCTAGCAAGGCTGTACTTTCCCATAACCTCCCCAAACATCACCACCAACTGGGCACCAAATGTCCAAATCCATGAGCCTGTGGTAGGCATTTCTCATTTAAACCAGCCTACCCCTGGCTAACAGTTTTGTGTGTTTGTTTGTTTTCCCCTTCCGAAATTGGTTGTCAGTGTCTTGAGGAGCTGAAAACATTCTCTGTATGTGAGGATTAGCTTCCGAAGCTGAGCTCTCAAATCCTAACTCAGCCCTCTGTCACCTTGTATCATCGTGATGGCGGGGGCGGGGTGGGGGACGGGGACGGGGTGGGGGACGGGGACGGGGGACGATGAATGATGAGCCTGGCACATGGAAACACACGCTCTACCCAGGAGCTGTACTCCCCATCCCGGCACATTTTGTCTGATTGATACTGAAGGATTAGAAGTCTGCCTGCTGCCTTTCCCCTTCTGGTCTTAGTGCTCCGACAGTCGAGAACATGGAGCCTCTCAATGCCATCCTTTTAGCCCAGGCTCTCCCCTGCCTGGTTCCTCTTTCTTTACCCAGGAGCTTCCGGTCTGCTCTCTTGGCTTCCTGCAATCCCATCTCACTGCATCCAGGCTGGTCTGGAGGCTTTTAGAGTTTATTGTTGAATGTTACCTAGTAAAGCTGTAATAGTTTCCCACACTGCTGTATCCTCCAGCAGGTTGTGGACCCCAAATGTCTCCCTTGAGGGCTGCTTCTTGTTCCTCCCAAGAGCTTCCCACTGCCCTGACTCCCACCTGAATGACTTAGCTCTGTAGCTCAGCTGTGTGTGACTGTGGGGGACCCATCGAAGCAATACATGGTGTGTCTAATAATAGCCAGGGGTGTGAAGAATTGGGAACTTTTGAAAAAAGTTGGGGTTGCAGAGTCCTGAGACTTCAGTCCTGTATTAGTCTGTTTGCTGTGACTATAACAAAACTTCCAGCAGTACTCCAGTTACTACCTAACCTAGTTAGTGCCCCTGAGTGTACTTAGTAAACCTGTTCTCTTTCTAAAAAGTACCGGGGGTAGTGATAAAGGTGATTACTGGATTCATAATTCCAGTGGCTAGAGCATCACAGAGCTGACTTCTTTGCAAAGAACCCCCACCTACCTTGCAGTGTGTGTGGTTGAGAAGCAAAGGCAGCTGGCTACGTCCAGAAGGGGGTCAAGTACATAGGATGGTCTTGCTCTCAAACAGCCTGTTTTCCACGAGAACCAAATCACTCAAGGAAACGCGTCTGAATCACTTCCTGAGGCGTAACCCCTGTGACCTAACTACCTCAAACTCTACTTCTCCAACGTTCCAGCCACTTAACAGGGCTACACTGGGTAGCAAGCCTCTAGAACATACTCGGACCGTATCTGTACTATAGCAAAAGGGACCACAGTTAAGGAATCAACAGGGTGGGGGGTGTATTGGAACCAAGCCAGAGGAATGGTGAATGGTCCATCACAAAACCTTGCCACGGCCGGGCGGTGGTGGCGCACACCTTTAATCCCAGCACTTGGGAGGCAGAGCCAGGTGAATCTTTGTGAGTTCGAGGCCAGCCTGGGCTACAAAGTGAGTTCCCGGACAGGCTCCAAAGCTACACAGAGAAACCCTATCTCGAAAACAAAACAAAACAAACAAACAAACAAAGAAAAACCCAACAACCTTGCCAGCCACTTCAAGCAGACTTACTGCTTTCTAACCACAAAACAACTTTCTCATTATTATGCAAATGGATCTTGTGATGGTTAATTTTAGTTGACACCACCTAGACTCACCTGGGGAGTCTTAAAGAGAGACTGTGTGCATGTCTGTGGGGGATTGTCTTGTGAGAAGACCCAGCCCACTGGGAGTGGTAACATTCCCTAGGCAGAGTTCCTGAGCTGTAAAAGAGCAAAACTGAACACAAGCAATTGAGCATGCATACGTTCATTCCTCTCTCTCTCTCTCTCTCTCTCTCTCTCTCTCTCTCTCTCTCTCTCTATCTATCTATCTCTCTCTCTCTGACATGGGGTCTCACTGTGTAGCCCTGGCTGAGATCCACCTGCCTCTGCCTCCAGGGTGTTGGGTTTAAAACACTAGCCTGTCAGCTCTTGCTCTTAACTGGATGTGATGATTAACTATTTGTAGTTTCTGCCTGACTTCCCCACATTGGTGGACAGTGACCTGGCTTTAAAGCTGAAATAAACCTCCTCCTACTTTCTTTTTGCCAGGGTCTTTTTGATTTTTTTTTGAGACAGGGTTTCTCTGTGTAACAGCCCTGGCTGTCCTTGAACTCTCTCTGTAGACCAGGCTGAACTCGAACTCACAGAGATCCGCCTACCTCTGTCTCCCAAGTGCTGGGATTAAAGGTATGTGCCAACACGCCCAGTTTGCCTGGGTCTTTTATCAAAGCAACAAAAAATGTAACTTGGACAGGCATCTGTCTCAGCAGTGATTCCCATTAATGAGTTTGTCGTTTGGGCCTTGCCTGGGGATACACATGGAGAACTGTGTTTGATCTCATGTGTCTTTCTCAAAATGCTACTTATCAAACTTAAAGTTCTTAATAGGGAATAACGGAAAGAGGACTTCTTCTTAGGAAAACATCAGGCAAGTTCAAGACTTGAGAAAAATGCATCTTAAATTTGTTTTATGGCGATAACTTCTCCAGTTGTCTCAGGGAAAATTGTTCTCATCAGGTGTGGTGCACACTTTTAATCCCAGCACTTAGGAGGCAGACCAGGAGGATCTAAGTTCCAGACCAGCCTGGTCTACATAGTGAGGCCCCTGTCTCAAAACAAAACAAAACAAAACAAAACAAAACAAAACAAAACAAAAGTTAAATGTTTTCAAACAATGAAAGGATGGGAGATTATGTAAGGAAAACAAGAATATTTCCCAAGTGTTCTCATCTGTCATTTGGATGAGCTGTTGTGAGAAAGGGAAATTGCATGAACTGTGTGATGAGGAAAACCAAATGTTTCCTAGTTTCTAAAGATAATTTTTATGTGCCGTGGATTTAAAGCAAACTATTTCCTATAATTCAATATTTGTCCAGACAGAACAAAAGACTCACGACTCCCATCTACAATATAACCATCTTCTGGTGGTGATATGTTTTCTTTTAAAGTAAAGCAAGAACGCTTTTTAAAAAATCTACATGTGGGGCTGAAGAGATGGCTCAGGGGTTAAGAGCACTGGCTGCTCTTCCAGAGGACCTGGGTTCAATTTCCAGCATCCACATGGCAGCTCACAACTGTCTGTAACTCCAGTCCCAGTGGATCTGACTCCCTCACATAGACATGCAGGTCAAACACCAATGCATACAAAAAAAAAAAAAAAAACCCTA